GGGTCTTCCTGTAGCCCCAGCTGTCCTGGATTCACTATGGAGACCAGGCTGACCTTGAACTCACAGAGATCCACCTGCCTCTGCCTCCCAAGTGCTGGGATTAAAGGCATGTGCCACCACGCCCGGCTATAATACAAGAGTCTATTGGTAGAAATCAAAATAATTCCAGGGAAGTTATTGATTCATCCACTCATCAAATACATTCTTAGTTGGGTGTGATGGTTCATACCTGTGATCCTAAGACTCTGGAGGCTGAGGCAGAAGGATTACCATTTTGTAGCCTAACTTGGGCTACAAAATGAGTTCAAGTTCAGCTAGGGCTTCAGAGTGATACCCTGTCTCAAACACATAACACAGTACAAAACAAAACAAAATACATATCTGAGTGCCTGCTTGGCTTCTGCTGAGTCTGGAGGATAAACTGAGGTGGAGGTGACAGGAGCCAAAACCCGCATGAACTTTATACTCCAGACAGAAAGGTCAGCATAAAATAAAAAACGGCAAGTGATAAGAGGAAATTAATAAGAACAACAAAAAAAGAGAAGTTCAGCATTCCTGGGGAGGCTTAAGCAACTGTTCTCCAAGTTCTGATTTAAAAATATGAATTACTCACCCTTAGATGATGTGTTCTTTCCTGTAGTCACAGATGATATTAGAATCAGAGGAAATGGACCTTTGTCAGCTGACAATATATTGAAAAGATTACATGATACATCAATGGTCTCAAAATTTTCACACAGAGTAGTTAATAATGCTCTTGAGTCAGATTGTGGAAAGATTGTACTTCTTGAAAAATGTCTTTTCAATGTACACAGGAATATTTTGTGTGTCATGACAAAATGCACATGTGTTTTAATAACAATAATCATAGAGCCTAATCACATCTTAAATCTGAGTCAGGTTAGGCTTCCTTTGGCTCCTAATCATAGGAAAACAATTAAATCACAATGTTGTTTAAACATCTAGATACGGAATCCGGTTAGTCAGTGGAAGTGACTTACTTGGGCTAAGGCAGAAGGCCTTACTTTGGGGGAACTCTGAAATAGGCAACAGATCCTAGGCATTTATCAAGCAAATCCAGGAATCCAGTTATGTGACTATATGTTCTTGTACAGCAATGTAAATCAGAACACAAAAAGAAACTGTAACAGCGTGACCAGTGATGCACTGGATAACAGAATTGGTTCTTGAACTTTTGGAGCGTCTATGAGGTGTCCATAAGTTCCAGTTTTTAGACAGCAAACACCATAGAATGCACATAGCAGTTCCAAAGGAAAGCCAAATATCTGCTTGATAGCATCGCACCTGTTGAGAGGTTTTATACTTGTTATTTCTGTAAGTAGCTCTCCCTTGCATAGCAAGCTGATCCCCTCACAGCTAGTGTGTTCCCTCTGCTGGCTATGAAAGAGAAGAAACAAGGAGGTATCCTCAGAATTTGCTACAGGCTTCTGAGCCCAGTAGATACAAGTCACAACCTGGATTCCATGAAAGAGTCAAATCTCTGGCCTCCAGATCAAAAGCTCCATGGGGTCTCAGCCCTTTCTGTAGCAAGCTGTATGTACCTGAGAAGTCTGTCTACACCTTCATGAATAAATGGAAAGTGATATTACTTAACTCACAAAATCGTGAACATTAAGTGCAATGTGAATCATGAAAGTACTTTAAAAACTAGAAAATGGAGATCGAATCATAGTTATATAGTTGTCCAGATTTATTTCTGTGGGCATCTAGAAGGTAACAACTCTCTTAACCTTAGACACATGAGCAATGACAGACATGTTTTTAAGTGTGATTCCTCACTATACTATGTATAAGACTTTTTATGCATTTTATGTATTGCATTTATGCAGTCCCTCCTCCAACATGCCCGGTGATAGATTTTTGTTGTTTTTTTTTTTTTTTTTTCGTTTTTTTGAGACATGGTCTCCCTGTAGCCCCAACTGGCCTGGAACTCACTATGTAGACCAGGATGACCTTTTGAACTCACAGAGATCCACCTGCCTCTGCCTCCCAAGTGCTGGGATTAGAGGTGTGTGCCACCATGCCTGGCCTGATGATAGGTTTTTAAGTCCTTTTAAGAATCCAGTTGCCATTCTGTCTATAGGCTTGAGTCATATACATATAGAACCATAAAAAAATTTTTATTGTATTCTAGCTTTGGGGATCCTCTGCATTTATACTGGGGTGTGCAACTGAAATTTTTTACATCTAAATCCAGGTTTCACTGTTCCTTGAGGAGAGTGATAATCTAGTAATCCTGCCTCACCTACAGAAGATACATTCTGAGATGCCCAGTAAGCACTGGAATCCATAGATAGTAGCAGACAAACTATGCTTTCTCCTATGTAGACACACCTATGATGCAATTATCGTTACAAACCTAGGTACAGTAAGAGATTACCACCAGCAACAATAAAATAGAACAATCACAACAATATACTATAATAAGACTTATTTATGCTTTATGTAATTTCCCATTTATGAATTTCAAGGCTGTGATTGAGCATGGTTAAATGACATCACAGAGAGTGAAAGCGTGGATGTGGGGGAGGGGGGCTACTGTATGATCTTCCATTTGTATGAAATGATAGTGTTTGCACATTAACTTTAGATGCATGATCCATTATGCACATAACCCTGCCTGTTAGTTGCTGAACACTCAGACCATGCTCAGGATGAAAGGCCGCAGGCACTAGGACAGTCTGTGGGAACAGGAAAATGGTGAGACTGGAGGATGATAAGTGGCCTGAGCATGGGAAGCACGATGTGATGGGTGTGATGGGACACCACAGAGGTAATGCCCAAGACAGTGGGTTTTAGTTCTATGTCAGGCCTGACCGCATTAGCTGTACATGAAGAATAGATAGGTATTTGAAGTATACTTTGATGGTGAAGCTTCTCAGGCAGAAGGGACCCCATGTGGGAAGCTGTGGAAGGAGAAAGAAATGTGAGCCACCAAGGCATCCGCAGAGTTTCAATATAATCAGAGACTTAGGTTGGGAGTGGCCATGGGAACCACACCATGAAGGACCACGTAAGTAAATTTAGGCCACATAAACTATCAGTACTTTATCCAGAAGCCAAGCATTAACCATAGAGGGAATTTACCTTGCAGCTGTACACAGGACTGTTAGAACAGATCATTCTAAATCAATGGGCTCAGCATGGGAGGAAGTCTTATCTACTTTCAATTTTGTGATAAAATACCCTGAAAAAGGACTCAAGGGAGAGCAGGGTTATTTGGGGTTATAGCTCCAGAGGGATACAGTCCATCCTGGTGGGGAAGACATGGTGGCAGGTGGGGAAGCATAGAGCAGGAGGAGAAGGCTGGATGCTCGTATTGCATCCACACCCAGGAGCAGAGAGAGAAGGAGAAGTGAGGCTGGGTTATAGAGCATGCGTTGTATGTCTGTACTGTGTGCCATCTACATTTTGTGCACATATTGTATGTATATTGTATCTTGTATATTAGGTATATAGTGTGTGTATGTTATGTGTGTATTTTATATGTGACACATATGCATATATACATATGTATTCTGGAAAGTAAACGGGTAGATCAAGATAGTGACAGGGTAAGGAATGAAGGGACCAGTACCCATGTTTCTACATCGGCAGTAAATGTTAGGGACGTCAGCCACAGTAACAAAATGAGTAGACGGCACCATGGTAATTCTAGGCTACTTCATACTCTCAGAAATACTCAGTGTTAAGCCAATACACAAGATGGGTGTGACTTGCTCTGATTCCAAAGCATAGTAGGAAAACTTCAACTAGAACTTCAGGTGTCCCAAGCCCAGTCTGAGCTCATTCTGCTGCTTTCCCCTTTTGGCATTTTACACACCCCACCACCATTCCAGACCACTGCCTGCTGTTACTCTGTTTTCCCACGTGGCTGGAAACTTTCTTCAGAGTTCGTTTTTCTTTTTTCTTTCTTTCTTTCTTTTTTTTTCTAATACATGATTATCAGCAAGGCCCAGAATTTTTAATTGCCATACTTAGCTTCAGCAGTATAACGGCAGAAGCAATGAACTGTAAGATAGCAACTCACAGAATACAAATATTGCTCCCCATTTAAGATATAGACAAGCACATATAGAAACTATTGAAAACACAGGGGCTGGAGGAATGGTGCCTGCATGACCTGAATTCGTGTCCCCAGCACTTACATAAACGCCGGGCAAGGTGGCACGTATCTGTAAACCCAGCAGTGGGGAGGCAGAGATAGGTGGACCCCTGGAGTTCACTTGCCAGCCAGCCTAGCCAAATCAATGAGCTTCAAGTTCAGTGAGAGACCCTATCTCAAAAAATAAGGTAGATCAAGGAAGACTCTGGACATCCACCTCTTGACTTTCACATGTAAGCACACACATGTGCACACACAAGTATATATACCACATACATACACCATTGAAAACACAGAAAACTCCACAATTACATCTTGACATATTAAATTTTGTTATCAATACAAGAAAAAAATATATATATATATACATACATACATAGAATATGATTTTAGTAATAAATTAAGTTAAAATCATGAGTTTTCCTCATTAACTTTAATGATTTCTTAATGTATTTCCAGGAAATAAATACAAAGGCCTTTTTATGTTATTTGTTTCTTAGAGTATTTTAAATTTCATTATATTTTCCATCAAATATTTGAAGTATCTATATTTGTGAGCAATGAATTCATAAATAGTGAAATCTAGCTACATCTGCAAAATTAGATTCTATAGACTAATTTTCCAGGTTCATGTTCAAGTTCACACTGGCCTCAAACTATGGGTTAATATGAAAAAAATCTTCCTGCCTCTACTAGATTTAACTTGTAAATCAGATACTTTCAAAACATTATTCAAACTTTAATCAAAGCCTTGAACAACATTTTGGGAACTAGATAATTTAGATTCTCTTATTTTGCTATGGTAATTAAATAGAGATATACTGCTTAAATCCTTTGCATTTCCATTTTATCAAATATAAAAGAAGAATGTATTTCAGCCATTGAAATACTGGTACACTTGATTTTTTTCATATTAACCCAAATTTTAAAACAATTGTACTTGTTATTTTGTTTTTTTGTGGTTTGGTTTGGTTTGGTTTGGGGTTGTTTTGGTCTTTTTGAAACAGGGTCTCCCTGTAGTCCCAGCTGTCCTGGAACTCACTATGTAGACCAGGTGGCCTTGAACTCACAGAGATCCGCCTGCCTCTGCCTTCCTGGTCCCTGGGATTAAAGGTGTGTGCCACCATGCCCTGCATACTTTGTTATTTTTAAATCTTGTTGTCATAAGCTTATTTTAGCCTACTGAGTTTGTAGTCCCTGGGTGGGGGGTGAGGGGGATGTAAATTTTAGACCTTTCCACCACCTGAAGAATAGACCCTGAAGCATGCTAACTTAGATCATCTTTCCTTCCACATTTCCCTTCCAGGACATTGCCTATTACCAAGCCCTGTCTGCTGAGAGGTTGCAGTCAGATGCTGCAAAGATTCCTCCCAGCCCCACTGCATCCCAGGAGCTCTATGAGCCTGGACTGGAGTCATCGGCTACTGCCAAGCTGGGAGACTTACAACGTTCTTGGGAAACCTTAAAAAATGTGGTAAGCCTTTAAACATGGAATTGGTCAAGCTCCCAGACACCCATCACCTTATGTATTATCTTATGAAATACATGCAGAGTTGCACACCCAGAATACAGTTGAATGCCCTTGGGTAAAGTTGTGAGTAAAGAAGTGTCACAATCTGTAAGATAAGAGGCAGGAAGTTGTTGGTAAGAGCCCTTTTCTTGTTTAGATCAGTGAAAAGCAGCGGACCTTCTATGAAGCTTTGGAATGCCAGCAGAAGTACCAGGACTCTCTCCAGTCCATCTCCACGAAAATGGAGGCCATGGAGATGAAGCTGAGCGAGAGCCTCCAGCCAGACAGGAGTCCAGAAAGCCAGATGGCCGAGCATCAGGTAAAAACTGCAGCGGCCATGACTTCCGCTTCCTGCAGGATGGAATGGGTGTGCTCTGTATGGGCCTGCCAGGCTTGTGCTGGGGAGAGCTGAATGGTGGTTTTTGGAGTGCGCGAGGTTCCTGATTTTTGCCAGGTGTTTCACGGTGGGATCTCAGAAGGCAAAAGGGAAGTCAGAGATGGATTCTAAATTTTAAAAGCCACGTGCACTGCTGTTGCTTTGGGGCTTTTCTTACACAAATGATCCTTCTTCCAGTTGCCCAGTTGTTTTCATTTTGCTGCGAGCCATTGTACAGATCCATCACAAATCTGCCTCCTCCAGGAGTCTCAGGCTTCAATGGGAAAAAGCAGTTGGAGGATTCTTGTTTTGACTTAAGCGATTTTTTAAAGCCTATTAAAGAAACCTTGAACTTTATATAAAGAAAGGAGCTGATTCACTAATCTAATGCAGTTAAAGATGCCATGTTTAGGGCCATTCATGGTGGTGCATGCCTTTAATCCCAGCACCAGGGAGGCAGAGGCAGGTGGAGTTGAAGAACAGCCTGGTCTATATAGTGAGTTCCAGCCCAGCTAGGACTGCATAGTGAGACTCAGCCTCAAAACAAAAAAACAAACAGAAACTCCACATCAGTTTAAAATGAATGCTGAGGGCTGGAGAGATGGCACAGCTGTTAAAGGCTCAGGATCACAACCGAAAGATCAAAGATCAAATGCATGCTGAGATATATTAGTCACAGGATGCAAGTACTACAAGTTAGGCTCACTCTCCAGAATCCCTAACTGAACATGGTAAGTTTGTTAGTGGTATCATTGTGTGTGTTAACACATGATCATGAGTCTAAGAATGTGCAGGCATTGGCTCACCTGTGTGCTGAGTCACTTAGGGAAATGCTGTCTAACCCTAAGCAAGACCCAGGAGCATTTGACCATCCGACAGAAAGCAAATGGAAAGGATGATGTCTTTAGATGCCCAAGGCTCAGACCTTCGTCTCCAGGAGTACACACACACACACACACACTCTGACACACACACACCCATACATATATAAACTCACACACATGCATAAAAATACACATATAAACACATATGCATACACATACACGTACTTAAACATACATATACCCCATATACATACACACATGCCATCAGAACATACACACACTCTTAAACACATATACATCCCACATACACATATGTAGAAGCATATACACACACTCATACATAACAAGTATACACACCCATACACATACATGCTCACATACCCATTAATTTACACACACTATCCACACATATATGCATATATGCACACTTGTACACACCCCCATATATATATACATACACACACTCATATATACACATACACCCCCCCACGTCACACACACACACACACACACACACACACACACATACACTGAAGTTATACACTTTGTTCTTTGTTGTATACCTTTCCAGTTTTGGAAACCAGTCTAACCTTGAACTTCATTGCTAGAGGTTCATATGTGGTGTCAAATACAAGTGCTTTCTTTTGCAATATGGGGCCTTTCAGTTGAAGATAAAACTAACATTTCATCTAGAGATGGCATATTGCAAAATAGTGGTGTCAGGCTTTTGACACTCATAACTTCTTAAGACAGACATCTAAGTACACAGATGGATCTATTTTTTAGATATTTTGACAAACAACTTTTCTGCCACCTGCAAAGTTACTCAGAATCTGCAGGGTTTTGGGAAAGGGCCATAAAGTATGAAGCTAAAACCAACTTGTTTTCATAGACCAGACCAATCATGAGGACGCTCAGGGATGAGGTTAACTATTGCAAGGCTATTTTCCTCTGACCTCCACCCACTGACTTCCTAGACTGCTACTACCCTCCATAAGCCCCGCTCCCTTCTAGCAGGGCCTCCATGTCCCAGCCCTTCTTGTCTGATGCCCCTGTCTCTTCACAGCTCACACCCACCTCACTCTCATCTTAAGGCTGTGGGCCACTCTTTGTTCTTGGTCCTGCAGCTCTGTCTGCCCTGTTGTTCCCAAATTGGCTTCACAGTACCTAAAGAGAGGAGAGGGAGAGTCTCTCCTTTGATCACAGCTCTGAGTGCCAGCTTGATGGGCTGTCCTGTGAATGTCCACTGTCTTTAAGCATCAAAAACAATATAGCATAATTTGTCTAAGGGCTGTATGGGAGTTACTTGAGAGTCACACATAATTATCGGGAACCAGTGATCCAGCAGAAGGTTTAAATAGTTTTATTCTGCTACATTCAGGTTATCTCCAGCTTTGTTTGAGGTCTCTTATCCCTGTTACCTAGGTAACTGGCCACAGCTCTCCCTAAGACCCTTCACTGCCTCACTCAAGAGTTAGGCTCCACAAGAAAACAGCCTCCTAGTAGCCCACATCCTAGAGTTTCCAACAGAGCACACATATTAGCTCCAAGCTTCACAACCATCTGCTTTATTAGTATGAAAAGTATGTAAACACTGGATGGGGAACCAAATGGTTATCCAAGCATTTACTAGAGAAGACTCAAAACTTGCTCATTATTATTATCTTTAATATATTTTTATTATTCTTTGAGAATTTCACTCATGTATACACTGTATTCTGATTATATCCATCCCCACTCCCACTCCAAATCCTCTCAGACCCTCTCTCTCCCACAACCCTCTCCCAAATTTCTATTCTCTTTTCATAGCCCACTGAGCTCAGTCAGTGCTGTCCATATGCACATGGGTGTAGGGCCATCCACTGGAGTAGCCTTTAATTGTAAAAGCTCCTCCCCTAGGGGAGGGGAGGGTCTTCGTGAGCCCTTCTCTCATCAATCTGGATTTTTGACTAGCTAGACTTTTTCTCTTCCATTTTTATTATTTATTTACTTATTTATTTATTTATATTTTTTCATTTGTTTTTTTGAGACAGGATCTCCCTATAGCCCCAGATGGCCTAGAACTCCCTATGTAGACTAACCTGGCCTGATCTCCCAGAAATCAACCTGCCTCTGCCTCTGCCTCCCAAGTGTATTAGTCAGGGCTCTCTAAAGAAACAGCACTGGTAGAATGAATACATACATATATGTATATAGAGATAAATAGATAGATATAGATATAGATTTACAGAGTACCACAGCTGGCCACGCACAGACATTATCTATGAATTGCCCAAACCTAAAGTGGCACATCTACAATGCAACCTCTACACCTAAGACTCACAGAACATGGAACAAGGGGTAAAGAAGACAATAATGAATATCTCAGTTCTCATTAATGAAGCTCTCTCATGCAACAGAGGGTCCAGAACACAAAATGTCATGAATGGCCAAAGTGTAGAGACTAAGAGTCTACAGAATGCTTGTCCTTGGACAGGACTCCTGTGGGAGGGTGCCAGTGGGGAAGGGGATAGAAAGAAAGATGGTTAAGTTTGATTGAGATGTTCTGTATGAAATGTACAAAAATTCAGTGAAAACAAAATAGATGTCCCCCTTAAGGATGAGCTCCTCACAGTGATTCATTCTCTGAACTCTGAGCAGCTAAAATTTCACACCATTGCTAAGTATTATAAATTAGAAGGGAATCTGTGACTTCTCTTGCCATTTAGACCAACCACATGACCTCTCTCCTCTTCCTAATTACCAAGAGCAGTGCCAGCCATCACCACAGTGAGAAGATACAGCCAGTTCCATGATGAGTACCAGACACTGGGGCTTAACTATCAAATATTAACTATCAAATTAATACCAATTAACTATAATGTCAATTAATTAGAAACTATCAGCTTGGGAGGGAAGGGGAGGGAGGGAAGACATAAAGGATGTTTAATTCAGTATAATTCTGCATATAATCACAAGTCTAACATTTTCCTTCAGAGGCTATTTTTGTTTGCTTTCACTCTTTCTAAGTTCTACGAATTCCGAGATAAAACTGCCTACATGCAAAGTTAATGGCATTGCAATATCCAAATTTGTTCTTGAGTTCGGGAATGGTGCTTTAAAAATCCCGAGTGTTATGATAGAATTGTTATTTCTAAATTTCCACTGAGTGGAGGTAAGAAAGCGCAGGGTAGTTTTTATATTTTAAAACACTGAGAGAAGAGCTTCGATTAAGACTTATCCAATGCTCTGCTGAAAGTTTTGTTTCTTATCAGCCTAATTCTTACACTTTTCCTCTAGACATTTGTCAAATGTACTGAACTTGGTTGGTGTGCCAGGCCCCTCTAGTTAGTCTCTGTATTGTGTATGATGGAACATTCAATGCAGTTCAAACGCTGGTAATGGTTGTTATGAAGTTTGAGCTCCCTGTGTTTGGGACTTTGATTATTAGGATATCTGATGTTTGGGACCATCTGGTGTTTTTGCCACACACAGCTCAGTGATAGACAGTAGAGAACTCTGAGGTTATTTTGTTTTTAGATTTGTTTTGGAAAAAAATATGTGTAATAGACTGTGAAAAAAACTGTGCTCAAAGAAATAATCCGGAGAGTCAGCATAAAATTTCTATTTCCTTGAGATTCGTGTGTTACCCTATGGTTAAAGGATTGGGCATTTGGGACTGGAGAGACTACTCAGTGGTTAGGCGCACTGGCTACTCTCGCAGAGGACCTGGGTCAATTCCCAGCAACCACATGGTGGCTACCAAAAATCCGTAACGGCAGTTCCAGGGGATCTGACGCCCTCTTCTGACCTCTGCAGGCATTGCACAACACAGGTGCACTTACATACATGCAGGCATACACTCATACACACAAAATAAAAAGGTCAATTCCCAGCAACCACATGGTGGCTACCAAAAATCCGTAACGGCAGTTCCAGGGGATCTGACGCCCTCTTCTGACCTCTGCAGGCATTGCACAACACAGGTGCACTTACATACATGCAGGCATACACTCATACACACAAAATAAAAATAACAAATAAAACTTAAAAAAAGAACTGGGCATTTGAGAGAAGCTCAAAGTACTTTTATTAAAAGTATTAATTTATATTAATTGTGCATCTTAATGGGAGCAGTGTGATTTTTCTATAATGTATATTTTTAAGCAATATGTATATTTTATTAATAAAAAGAAATAGGTGACAACACAATGACACCTTCTAGAGTTCCATTTCCATTTCTTTTATTTTTAATTATTTATTTAATAACCACATACTTAGAAGAAGCATTTCATTACAACAGCATTGACATATTCAATAACAATTTCCAGAGCTAAGATATATCTCTTTCAAAATTGACTGTAAATTTTTAGGTTCACAGTTGAATTAATACAGTTATACAATATTGAACTCTGTATAAAGCCCATAAGACATAAAATTGAATGAGGTTTTAACCTTTAAGAAACATCTGCATTTCATTTTAAAATATATTGTTTCATACAGAAAACAATATCATTTTTAATGCTACCAACACTTAGATGTTTGCATATGCATCTCTAATCTCTATGTACCTGAGTATTACTAGTCAGAGTCGGTTACTTTCTGAGATCCTTGGCACCTGAGCATGGATATAAGGTCATCAGGTAGATTTTAATGGTAGTATTTTTCACCTCTACTAATTAACATGAAGCAAATTTTTATGCTTCTTCCTCAAATATAACAAATTTTTTATTTGTTGATTTTTTGTGTTTTTCATACAGAACATCACAAACAATCTTATTCATCTACATACCCACATCCCAAATGACAGCCCCCATAAACTTTCCCCCCTCCATGGACCCGTATACTTTGTCATCCCTGTTATTGTCCACTGTGTTGTTGGTGCCCCCAGCCATTTCCCAGTGCTCGTCCATCCACTGAATCTTGTCAGCCTATCTAGAGTTCCTTGTTTTAGGGAGCTCAGATCTTCCTCATCTAGCAGCAATCAGTTGCCAGTATTCCTTTAGAAAATATTAGGGTCTGATGTTCATTGTCCCAATTCTATGCTGGGTTACTGTTTGGGAGTCCCTTGGGTCACCCTGGCCAACAACTCAAAGGAAGGTATCTCCTGTCGGG